CTCCCGAGTAGCTGGGATTACAGGCATGTGCCACCATGCCTGGCTAATTTTGTATTTTAAGTAGAGATGGGGTTTCTCCATGTTGGTCAGGTTGGTCTCAAATTTTCAGCCTCAGGTGATTTGCCCTCCTTGGCCTCCCAAATTGCTGGGATTACAGGCGTGAGTCACTGCACCCATCCTGGCTAACTTTCATATTTTTAGTAGAGACACGGGTTTCACCATGTTGACCAAGCTGGTCTCAAACACCTGACCTCAAGTGATCTGCCTGCCTCGGCTTCCCAAAGTGCTGGGATTACAAGTATGAGCCACAGCACTGGGTGTATTATTTTCATCCATCCGAGTTTTCTAAGTTTCAGCAGGGAACATAGATTTTTAAATCCAGTGACTGGAGGCGAGGAGCTACAGAAGTGCCTGTGGGTCACACTCACTCAGGGCCCATTCCAAGCTTACTACTAGTCCCTGACAGGGACCCTTCTGGGTGGTGAAGTCTCCAGACTCCATTCTCTACCTTTCTCTTCTGGAGTGATTTGTTTCCCCAACCTTCAGTCTTTTTCACCCTAGGACATAGACCCACGATCTCTGAGCCTTATCCCACCCCTGGGTCCATCTCTAGTCCCCCGAAGTCTAGTATGGCCCTGGAACCGGGACTCCTATTTCTTGGGAGGAGGGTTGAGTCTTTAAGAAGCACAAAGCAGTGTTGGACCTGGTTAAAGTGCTCGGGATGTTGGAGTCACACAGATGGGGATTCAAATCCCTTGCTGTCTCTCATGGCTTATGGACTTAGTCGTGTTCCTTAGACTCTCCATCTTTAGTCTGTTGATAATACCATGTTATAAAATGAGATAAAGTATGCAAAACAACCATACACAATGGTGCTCAGTAAATTGTTACTTCTTTGCTGTTAGTATTTGCTTTATTAAAGGAAAAACTTTTAACAAAAAAATTCGGTTTAACAGTGTTTAATTCAGCAAAGAACAATTCACAGATCAGACGGTCCCCAGAACCAGAATAGGTTCAGAGGGACTCCAGAGCTGCCACACGGTCAGAAAATGTTGATGGACAGAGAAAGGAAAGTGACAAATAGAAACTGAAAGTGAGGTACAGAAACACCTGGACTGGTTACAGCTGGAACTTTTCTTATTTGAACACAGTTGGCTGTTTGTGATTTGCCAAAGCTCTGTTATTTGCCATTACTTGTGATTGGTTTAACACTGGGTTATAATGTTATTTGCCATTACTTGTGATTGGTATAAGACTGGGTTACAATGTACACACCCAGTTAGGTTACAGTTTACTATGTACAAATAAACCATTAGGCAGAACTTAAAATATGTAAAGATGTGGCTTTAGGCTAAAGTTAATTTAACAGCCTGTATTTCCAAGGAATTTACTAGCAGTGCTGGTGTGTTAGGAAACGATGCCTCTTGTTTAGCATGTGGGGCTTAGTGGTTTGAAATTGGAGGGTGGCATGGGGCCAACAGTTGGGGGAGGCAGTATATAGAACCACTTAACCAGGTACCCCAACTAAGTGCTGTATTTCTGCCACCGGGGTAAAGAGTTAAGAGCCTAGTCTTTTCAAAAATATAAACATTTTACTAAAGGAGGGAGAAAATACTATTTTGAAAGTAAGATGCATTTCAGGTGGCTGTGCTAGGAATGGCGGGGTTCTTCCCAGGAAGAGAATTGCTTTTTTCCTAACCACGTGTTGATGGATAACTAGAGGTGATGCTGCCCCCTGGCGGACATGGTCGGGGAGACAGTGAGGGAAGTTGTCACGGAGTAAGAAACAACTTTCCCCTGAAGTGCTGGGGGAAAAGATGGCTGGGGAGGGGTGCAGATGGGCACACAGTGACTCAGGCATCACATCAGCGAGAGCAGTGAATGGGATTTGAGAATTCAATTAGGGAAGGAATTCAGAGTCACAGTGGACTTCGGATCTCCTTCTTATCCCATACTAGTTATTTCTTAAGTTGGGGTAAGAGCTAGATTTTTTGTTATTTGTGATGAGTACCTGAGACGTTTGGGAAAAGGTGACCCTAGCAGGCTGGAGGAATTGGGGATATCTGGGTTGCCCGTGAAAAGCTAAGTAACATTGTCTCCACGTGCTGGGCACCTGAACAAATTACTCTTGAAGGTTAGTCCTGAAGTGTTTCATTATTGCCCATGGGAGGAGAAACTAGCTGAACTTAGCGACCTATGTAGGACTTGGGGAAGGGCTTAGTAGACATTTAGGGTCCTTTGCAATGAATCTGACCCTGTAAGTCAGCTGCAGCTTCTCACTGGTCTATACATACCTGTCCGGATAAAGGGCTCCTTTGAGTATATCTGATCATCTCCTCCTTTGGAAATTCAGCAGTTTCTTTCCTAGGAGACTGCTACTCACCCTGCCTCTCTGAATATCCGTTATGCCTTCTTCCTGCAGCTTGAAGGCAGGTCCAGTCCTTGTCCTGGGAGCCTTCCCTTGCCTGACTCCTCACTAAGAACATATCTTATCCATGTCCAAGGTTGTGCCCCCTTCCATGAGGTGAACGGCTCTTAAGATGAGAGCTTTAGGTCCGGAGTTTTGGGTGCCCATTTCTCCATGGATGTCCTTGGCTCTTTAAACTCACAGTGTCTCAGACCAATAAGATGATCTCCCTCCTTCTCATCTAGTTAGACCTCTGATTAGCAGATGGCACGACTGTGTTCCCAGTCACCCGGGCTAGACACTTCACAGTGAAAGGTAACTCTTGTCTTGCCTTATTGCCTGTATCCTGGCTCTATTACCTCTCCCTGACACGATGAGGGCTCGCAGGGTAATGCAATTCACCTCTGTGTATCTGCTTAGCTATCAGCCATCCCCAAGCCCTCACTTTCAGCTAGATGAAATGCTTCTGCCCATGAAGTTTTACCTTGTTCTTTAACCCATCATATTGCCCTCTCTTCTGTGACTTTTCATGCCATTGCACCAGCACATTCTTATGTTCTAGAGCATGCTGCCTTTGTATTATACTTACTGATGTCTGTGGACATTCCTCTACCTACAATGTGAGCTAGTTGTGAGCAGGATGCTTATCTGATCTACCCTCTTCTTCATCTCAGTGACTTGTAGTTATTTAGTCTCAGTAAATGAGAGTTTTCTGGTCATTAGCATATTATGTGCGTTCTAATCACTTGCCTGTATCTCCACTGGTGAATAAGTTTCTTGGGGACTGGACTAAGCATGATTTAGCTTTGTGTCCAGCATGCGAACTGAGCGCTGTGCCATGCACAACTAAAGTATGAAATAAATGTTAAATTAAATGGGTGAAGGTAACTTCATTAATCATTTAGTCTTTACTATGCCTTAAATAACTATAACATTAATAGTTTAGGATTTAAAAAAAATTAAAGGTTTGGCGAAAGCAGATGAGCCTATAAGGGAAATGGATGAGGAGAGGCTAAAGATAGAGGAGGAGATCTAGGAGAATGTGGTGTCACAGGAAAGAGTTGAAACGCAGAGAGACCAAATGTGAAGACAACTGGTTTAGCAGCATGGAGGTCCACGGAGAGCTATGTAGAGCCATTTTTCCTTGGGAGGAAAGGACCAGGAGCCAGAGTGGGGTGCGCTGATGAGTGAGTGAGTGGGAGATGTAAAGATGGAGGAAAAAAGTATTAGTAACTTTTCAAGAACTTGGCCTATATTAAAAAGGAAGGTAATAGGGGAGCAAAAGGACATGGGAGCAGGACCCAGAGAGGATTTTCTTTTAAAATGGGGCATCATGAGCATCTTAAAAGCTGATGAGTGGGGAAAACTTCCTGGGAAAAATATAAAACCTTTAATAAGAACTAAGGTACTTAAACATAAAACTAATTATTGTTGCATGATAAAAGCAGGTGAAATATTGGGAAAGAATATTTTTAACCTACATAACTGATGTGACACATAATTTGGAAGATCACAAACAGAAGTGCCAAAAAATGTGTTTGTAACTGCATTCTACCTGCTTCTCAGCTGTCATTTCTATTTGCAGCAGAAGACAACCACACCAACTGACGAAAAATTAGAATATCCCCTCAATGTTATTTAGTTTTCTGTATTTGTCCTTAAAAACCCAGATTATTGGTTGTCTTCAAGGAATCCATCCCTTTTCCATGCTTTCCTTGACCTTTGCACACACCTGCATTGGTCAACATAACACTGTTTGTAATTACATTCTGCACATCTGTGTCTCCAACCTGACCCTGAGTTTGCTGAGAGCAGAGACATTGTCAGTATCCAGTTTATGCCCATAAACTATGCAGACTCTTGTTGATTCTTGTTGATTGATTGTTACCTGAGTCCCCTGTGGGCTTTGGCATTTTGTAATGATAGGCAGGACTATTTCTGCGTTTGTCACATTCCTAGAAGGAATGTTTTCAGTCCCCAGCTAGCTCCCCTGTTGCCCCTTGAGTCAGAGCCCACCTTCTTCAAATATAACTATGCTCTGATTTCTAGCACCATCCATCAGTTTTGCCTGTTCTTGAATCTCAGACAAAATCAGCTATACAGCTTGTTTTCTTTTGTTCAACATTGTCTGCCATGTCAAATGTGTTGATGTTTGTCAGTAGTTTGTTCTTTTTCCTTGTTGTGTAGTATTTTATTGCATGAATGACGATTGTTTTAATAATAAGCTGTTTTTTTTTCTTTTTAGAGAAAAGATTTTTCCTAGCTCTAGAACATTAGTCAAGGATATGTTTTAAACATTTTCCTGTCTTACATGGGTCTCTAACACATAAGGAAAACATAAGAGCTCAAGTTTCTTTTTCTCCCAGAAAACACGATTTTTAAAAATACACCAATGAAAATGAACTCTCTCTCAGTTGAGCTCCTTTCCACGGAGTTGCGGGGAAGCCGGTCCTGCAGGGTTTTGCTCGCAGGACGTCCCTGAATGTCACCCTGGACTCCGGGAGCAGCAGGGGGTGGGCTTCCTGAGTAGCGGGCTCCCTGGCCTGACGCGCGTTTCTGTCTCCTCCCGTCTCCCTGCATCGGCGATTTCCAGTGAGATGAGTCAGAAAACGCCCAAGGAGGGTCCCAGACTCTCCAAAAACCAGAGGTACTCCGAGCACTTCAGCATCCGCTGCTGCCCGCCGTTCACCTTCCTCAACTCCAAGAAGGAGATAGTGGATCGGAAATACAGCATCTGTAAGAGCGGATGCTTCTACCAGAAGAAGGAGGAGGACTTGATCTGCTGCGCCTGCCAGAAGACCAGGTGAGCCGCCCGCCCTCCCCGCTCCGCACCCCGCTCTTCCCGCGGTCGGTAGGCTCCGGGTCAGGCTCCGACCCGGAAGGCGGTCCAGGGCGACCGGAAGCTGGGTGGGGGAGCAGGGCCTTCCCGCCAGTTTCCAGCTCCAGCCAGCGTCGCTTCAGCAGCCGAGGCGCGCCCTGGCTCCCGCCTCCAGCTTCTTTTGGCCCTCTCAGAACCAGCCGCCGCGCCACGTCCCCTCAGAGGCCCAAGAAACAGCCAGCTGCGCCCCCCGCGGTGGTCAGAGCGCCAGCCAAGCCACGGTCCCCTCCGAGGTCAGAGCGTCCGCCCCGCCCCCGCCCAGAGGTCCGCCCGCCGCCCGCCAAGCAGCGTCCCCCTCAGAAGGCCAAGCAACCGCCGCGCAGCAGCCCCGTCCGAGGGCCGGGCGCCAGCCGCGGGGGGTCCCCCGTCAAAGCTTCTAGGTTCTGGTAACACCATCTCTTCCCTTTTGCTCCCCCAGCCCTAAGGTTAGTAGCTGCCTCCTGAGTTTACTAACACGGGCGGTCCCCACGGCCCCTTCCGCCCCGTCTCCGAGCCCGTGACGTCAGCTCCCTGCGTCCGGCCCCCTCCGCGACACACCTGGAGTGGTCCCGGCTTCTCCCGGAGCTCCCGCGCCTGCTCCGGGAGGCCGTGGCCGTTGGTCCTCTGTCTAATGGGACGGGACGTTGCGTCCATTGAGACGACTGACCGCGGTGCCAGGTTGAATAAGCGCGTTCCTCCATGCCCGTGCCTCAGGGCGAGGGGGAATGGTGACTCTGACCAGCATCCGTGTGTGTCAGAGGAGACGGTGATGATCCCGCGGACCATCCATCCGTCATCGGATGACGTCAGCCTCCGCGGCGGTGCCAATCATCCGCTCGCTCGCTCGCTCAGCGGACCCCACTGCACCCCGGAAGAGTTCCGCGTGCTGTACTGGGGGAAGGGGCTGCGGTGGCGAGCAAGCCGCGCGGCGTGGGATTCACCGGCACTAAATTCAGGAGATGTCTTGTTCAAATAAGAGAATAGCTGTCGGCTGGGCGCGGTGGCTCACACCAGTAATGGTAGGCGGATCACGAGGTCAAGAGATCGAGACCAGCCTGGCCAACATGGTGAAACCCTGTCTTTACTAAAAATACCAAAAAAAATTAGCCGGGCGTGGTGGCAGGCGCTTCTGGTCCCAGCTACTCGGGAGGCTGAGGCGGAAGAATCGCTTGAACCCAGGAGGCAGAGGTTGCAGTAAGCTGAGATTGCCTCACTGTACTCCAGCCTGGCGACAGAGCAAGACTCCATCTCAAAAAAAAAAAAAAAAAAAAAGAAAGGTGTCATGGTGTAGGCATCCGTGCCCTAATGTCCTCATAATATGCATGCACCCTGGACCATGAGAACCATAAGCAGGGTGTTATTGGCTCTGCCACAGGAGTTTGGGGCTTTACAAGGGACATTAGGCTAGGATGAGTGACGGCAAAGGCAAGGGGGACCCATGTAGACAGAACAGGAGAGCCAGAGGTGCACATTTACCTACCTTATTTTAATAGGCCAGTTTGTTTTTTTCTTCAGATTTTTTTTTTTTTTCCTCTTTGGAATGGAGTCTCGCTGGCTCGCCGAGGTCGGAGTGCAGTGGTGCGATCTCGGCTCACTGCAACCTCTGCTTCCCAGGTTCAAGCCATTCTTCTGCTTCAGCCTCCCAAATGTGTGGGACTACAGGGGCCTGCCACCACACCCGGCTAAATTTTTTGTGTGTTTTTAGTAGTGATGGGGTTCTGGTCTTGAATTCCTGACCTTGTGATCCACCCGCCTCAGCCTCCAAAAGTACTGGGATTATAGGCATGAGCCACTGCACCTGGCCTATTTGGCCTACCTTTTTTTTTTTTTTTTTTTTTTTTTTGTTAAGAGCAGTTTAAGGTTCACAGCAAAATTAAGGGGAAGGTACAGAGATTTCCCCTATAATTCTTGTCCCAACACACACATGCCTGGCCAATTTTTTTCCTAGCTGTTCTGAAGGTATATCAGCATGCTTAATTTTTAGTCCCTTTACTATTTGGAATTGAATCTGTCTATAAGTTAGTAGTGGGTAAGTTCACCGTATTTCAGATTCTTATGTCTACTCTGATAGCCAGCACGTGTATAGCATCAAAAGATGTCATGTGATGCTAACTGATTCAGTTGGAAGAAGAGTCAATGGGGGAGAATGCTAAAGATGCCCCTAGAGAATGTGGTTTTTTTGGTCACCACTAAGGCCTGGATATCTGCATTTTTAGCAGGTACTCACCCCCACAAGGTACAGTTACATAGACAGTATGCAGACTACACAATGAGCAACGCTGACCTAAATGATCCACAAATGAATATTTCAGATAATTTGTGATATGAAGTAAAGAAATGTGGAAAGTGACAAATTTACAGTACCAAAAGTGAAAACATGAGAAAGGCACAAAATTAGGAGAGTTTAATTTGTAAAGGAAGTAACTAGTCACTAAAACTTTAATAGCTAGTTGTATGCCAGGTTACGTAGTCATTAACTGAGACCCTCTATAGGAGCCTGAATAGAAGGGGCCTAGGACAGGTAAGTATTGATATATGGAAGTAGTTAGAAAATATATGAAACAGAGGAAATTAATTGTATAAAAGGCATGTCACCTATGGTGGCTTTGGGTGGCTGGAGTTCAAGCAAGACATGGAAAGGAGTTAGAAGACAATGAAAGTAAACTTCACCATACCCACAGATTTGTCTGGCCTTAACCTAAACTTAGGAGATACCCTAGTGTTGGCATGCTTTGACTCCTCAGTGGGTATCAGAGAAGGTGCCTTCACAGGCTGTTATTACCTCCTCAGCCATGGTCCCTTACCTGGGAACAGAGGATCTGAAAGGCTTCATTAATAATGTCCCATGACTTCACTTATGCACCATCTGAGTCCTACTTGAGACATTCATTTTTCCTCCTTAGGTTTCCAAAGGTCTTCAGGTAACGTATTAGAGCCACTTCTTCACCATATTGCCTTTTCCTTTGATTGATACTGATTGACTGTTTTGAATCAAAGGAGGAGAGGCAGGTTGATGGGAAAAATTTGCTCTTAAGCAGAGCTACTAACTTGCACATGAAGAAAGAGTAAAACAGATTTTCTGAAGCCAACTTGCTTTCTGAAATGGTGCTATTTCTGAGGTACTGCTTTTAAAGGTTAAATAATTTTGGCAAAGGCCTAATTGGGTTCTTAATAACTCCCTTGGATAGGTCTTCTCAAAAACCAAAGAATGATGAAATCTTAGAAACCGATTATACAATTTCCAGCATCCTGATTAAACATGGTAGCATTCTTAATATTTGACAGAAGGAAACCCAGGCATCTCCCTCTTAGTTTATTCTGTCCTCTCAATTCTAAGATTTTAGAATTTCATAATGTTGTCCTTGCCTTTGGGTTTAACAGGTATATTCTGGGCCTCTTTCAGTTTTAGTGCTCTGCTTTTGGGAGGTGGGGAATTTGTGGTTCTTTGAAAACTGCCGTGGCTGTGGGTGGTTAATTTGGAGTCAATCAGTCACATATATGGGGCAATGCTGTGTGTGTGCCTTTGACTCATTTTTTTCTGCACAGCGTCTTTTATTAAATTGAGCCCTGCACATAAGCAGCCTGGAAGGCTGTGATTTTCCAAGTCACAGCAGAGTTAGGGAAAAGGCCTGAGTTCTTTGCTTTCTGTTTCAGGCTCTTGTTCTGCCTGTGCTTCAGGTTGTATTATTGCTTTTATGTGTTTGGGTGACTGAAGTCTTGAATCTTGCCCTACGTATGCCATATAGTCTATCCTATCTGGGAGCAGGCCTTTATACATCCTGGTGGTCCTTATATCACAATGCATATGCAAAGCAGATGCTTTTGCAGAGGCCTGGGTTAGCCAGAGAGGCTTTCGGTCCTGGGAGCTGTGTGTTGTTTTGCACTGTAATAGCCTCTGCCTGGTCACAGGTCCTTACCAGGTCCAGACCACATGGTTAACCACTCCCTCTCTGATAGCCTTAACCCAGTTGTCTCTCATCCTCCTTCAGCACTCGTTTTATAAATCCCCGAATCTAGATCAAGCTCACAACCTGCCTGCATTGGTTTTTCAACTGCTGAGCATGGTCACGTGTGCACAGAGCGGCTGAGCAGTTTGGGGAAAGCTTTGTAGCCTGGTGGGTTGGTGCCACCACAAATGGATGAACCCCAGCCACTCCCCAGACTATCTTGGCTGCCACCAGCCCCCACGCATTCATCAGAATATGCATCTGTCTTTAAATACTTCCCCTTGGCTTCAGGAGATGAAGGCTTCATTTTCTGATGAGGCCAGTGCCCCACCCTCCCTGTGATCTTCCTCCGTCTTGTCTCCTTTGGTGTCTTGCTGTGCTGCACAACTTATCTACCCCTCTGACCACTTCAGCCTCTGTATCTTATCTCTTTCTCATTAAAATTTCAACATGTTTTGCTCTCTCATATTGACTGTGTGTTCATGTCTAGCCCTATCCAGTTTTCTTTCTACCTTAGACAAATTTTAAAATGAGTAGTGTAAATGCGTCATCTTTACTTCCTCAAATCCCATTTGCTCTTCAATTAATCGTGTTCTGATTTTTTCCCATAGGACCTCCTGATCCTGGAATTCCTCTTGTGCAGATTCCTCCAGATGTAACGATGCAAGGGCAAGAAGTTTATTTGGGAGGTGAAGGGGACACTAGGGGAATGTGGGAAGTAAGACAAGGAAGGGAAAGAGCCAATTAAAAAAAAGCATTAACCAGTTATCACCATGGGTTCCTGGAGCATTAGTCCTGCTGAGGATCCCTGGGGAATAGTGTAGACATGTGCATCAGTTATCTCATCAGAGAGGTGGAGGAACTGGGATATTTATAACCAGTTCTTGTCAGTCATTAGTCAACCAATGCTGCTTGGAGAATAGGGGCATTTATTCTTTGACACATCTAGCTTGTTAGACAGCAAAGTGGGACTGCAGCAGCAAGGTATAAGCCCTCAGGAAAAGAAAGGCAAGTGCTAGCACCTGGAAGTGGGGCTGAGCACAAAAGCGGTAAGGGCAAGGGGTTGTGGGCAAGGCACCAGTAGTGTCTGCTCTGATGGTTACCTGTAACCTTCATGTTGCTTTTCCTAGTGTAAGCTGAATCCAGTCTATATATCAACAGTGGTTTCTGTTGGATTTGTTGGGCTGCTCTCTCATTCAGTCTTTAAACTCTCTGTTCTCTTGGTTTCTGTGACTCTCTTCTCTGCAGGAACTTTCCTCCTCCATCTTCTTGTGAGTGCTTCCTTTTCTGCCAATTGCTTAATCTTGAGGTGCCCTAGGATTCCATACTGAGTTCTCTACTTATATGATTTTGCCTTCTCTTGCAGGTTTTGTGACTGTCATGCTGATGACTTCTAAACCTTAATTCATCCTTGACATTAATATATGAGCCTATTCACTCAGCGTATCAGTTTGATGTTG